AAGCTTAAAACCTATGGTATACATCAGTAATAAAACTGTAATATAGAGATGTTGCTATATTAGTTTACCTAGCTTGGACCATCTAAAAGTGAAAAAGGACAGTGTAAGCATTATTTCCTTCTACTTTCCCTTAGTCTTCACAGAATTCTACCCATACTGATTCCACTACATTTTCAGAAGAGAGGCATCTTCAAAACCTATGTTTCATTTTGGTTTTTCCCTATAATATCAGCGTAAGAAAATCCAAGGGCTTTACATGAAATGACACCTCATATAATTGCTGCTCCACTGAGATGTAGGTAACTGAAGTTTAATTTCAACACTACTGTGAGCCCTGCTGGTAGCACAACACCTGTCATTACTTCAGTACCGTGCAACTTGAGTGATTCTAAAACGACAAAGTGTTTACTTTAAAGACTTAATTATGGTGTCCCTGCTATACACTGACCCAGAAAATATCATATGGTTTTAGGATAATGTCTAGTAATTGTCACATTCTTTGCACTTTACATAATTATGCGACAGAAGTTTATGGCTCATAAATCATCTCCTCACTTAGAAAACTTCACTGAGTTTTTATTATCGCAAAACTGACTACCAACAGAGAGGAGCAAGAAGCAGAATCTTCAGGATAATTATAGAACTTGACTTGCATTCCCGTATATATCCCATGGGAAGAAAGTCAAGGCACTGACTCATGAGTTGATAACACCATTCCCAGCGCAATTATATGTAGAACTGCTCAGAATTTTCTTCATGGAGTACCTAAAAAGAGCTAAAGTTAGAATCTGAGGATGCAAGACTTAGCTACCTTTTGGCAGCCACACACAGTCCCTGAAAGTAAGCAACGATCCATCCGAATAAAGTAAATATCACAGTGCCTCCTCCTTTTGCTCACTAAACACTGAGCACACAGTTTACAATTCAACCACAAGATATCTGAGTAAGTTAGATCACTTCTGCTAACAGCAGATTAATTCTTTCTAAAATTTTATTAAACTAATGATGTAGGGTATAGATGAAACATAAATTGGAAAAGTGGGAAATTTTCCTTTTGCATATGCTTGTATTTTTGTGAAGATATTTTTATCATTTTAAAAATTTATATTTATGGGAAAAGCAGAGAGCTAGAGAGAGAGACAATCATCCATCTGTTGGTACACATCCTAATGGTTCCAACAGTCAGATCTGGCTCAAGTAGAAGACTAGAACTAGGAATCTCATTCCAGACTCTGACTCAGGTGTCAAGGGCCAAGGTAACTGGGCTATCATCTACTATCTTCAAAGGCACATTTGCAGGAAGCTGGATTGGAAGTGGAGCAGCCAGGACCCAGACTGGCACTCCAATATGTGATGCCAGTGTTGCAAGAGGCAGCTTAACCCTCTGGACCAGAGCATCAGCCCTGAAGATATTTTTCTATTTAGATTAAGAGTGATATAAAACAAACAGTTACACTTCCTTTTATAATTACTATTCCAACTGGGTGGTGAAAGATAACTTTGGTCAGCTTTCACTTTCTTCTTGCCTTTTATTAGTAGATATAGAGATATAATAACTGGTACAAATATCATAATCTCCAAAATCGGCCCAACTTTGTCTAAGCTAAAAAGTCCATAAACACTTCCTATTACAGTTTCATTACTGAGGGCTCTGTCTTTCAAGATACATTCTATTTTGCACTATGTATTGATGTGTCATAAGCTGTGCAATACCATTTTACACTCTGTGAGAACACCACCCTCATGTGTGGTTACCACACTGTGGTGCATTCTCTATGTAAATAAAAGTGTTCAACTGCCTATTATTGGGGAGAACAACATGGTACGGCAGGTTAAGCTGCTACCTGCGATGCCAGCATCCCATGTGAGTGCCTGTTTGTGTCCCGGATGCTCCATTTCTGATCCAGCTCCATGCCAATGAGCCTGGGAAGGTAGCATAAGATGGACGAGTACTTGGGCCCCTGGCACCCATGTGAGAGACCTGTTTGAAAATCCTAGCTTTGGCTTGGCCCAGCCTGGGTCATTGAGAACAGTTTAGAGAATGAACCAGCAGACTGAAGATCTTTCTCTTTCTGTCAATCTCCTGTGCTCTCCTATAATTCTGCTTTTCAAAATAAAATTATAAAAAAAAGCCAATTATTTTAAAAAGTGGCTGCCCTTACGGAGTTGAGAAAACAATTTCTGTTTGAGGTATTTAGGAGGAAAAAACTATGCTATGTTTTATGTTGACTTAGTGGATAACGTACAGAGCTTATATATCAAAAATCTTAAATTTTGAAATCAATGTTGACTGATTACAAAACTGCATTACCACTTATGACACTTCAGGTTTCCAGGAAAATATTACAATGCTCTATGACAATTGCTTTCCAAAGTCTTAAAGTTTGTGTGTAACAACACATAGTATGTGTATATAACATAGATATCACATGTATTCATACATGTGCTATATACACACATAAATATATATATATATACACACACACACACATTTATATATCTAGAGGCCTGTCACTGAATGTTTCAAATCTGATAGTTGGTCAAGAAAACGTTAATGCAATTCATTCCATATAGTAGTCAAAGAATGACATAGTCTGGAGTAAATATACTCAAAGCAAAATCCCAAATACTCCTGTAATCTAAGAGTTATGTTAGCTACCAAAAAACTGTAATACAGAGCAAGGCCAATAATTGTAACATCTCTGGCATCCCATTTAATTCATCTTTCCAAGTCAACAGTTAATTTTAACTATGATGAATAAAGATGGATGTTATTTTGCTACAGGTAACCAATTACAAAGAAAGTGATGGCCTTTCACGGAGAAGCTTTGCCCATGCTTTGAGGAAGGGAGGATATGGACTTCTGAGGTTATTTCTAGGTATCTGGCTCAATGGAATGACGGGACTTACCCAGCTTGCTTTAGTGAACACCAGTTAAGTCTGTGGATGACACATGGTTGCTGACAAGCTCTATCTTGAGATTTAGCTTGGCACACACTGCCAACAGTTTGGGTCTCTCACTATAGGATCATCATTAGGTCACAGTAATTGGTTGCAGAAGGAAAATTGGCTTAAGGGACAAAAGTGAGTATCTGCTATGACGGATTATAACCTCAAATGGTCCAGCACTTGATGGGTAGCAGGAGAAAACTATTCAAATCGAGAAAGACGATGAAACCCTAGGTTTATTTACACCAAAACTAAACACGTGCATTAAAAAGTTAAGAACACATTTTGGTATTCAACAAGTCCATTATTTATTTATTATTTATATATCTGGCCCATGTCTGTTAAACATACTGAAAGTACAGTTAATCAATTTTAGAATATGGCATTTCTTGATGATTGTCCGTATGTTTTGTAACACTCTGAAAAGTTGAATTATTCTGTTTATATTATCTTCATATCCAACCCGTAAAGAACAAAAGCATGGAGAGTCAACGTTTAACACAACATCCTCTGGTTTTCACTCATTTAACTGTTCCTTTAAAAAATAAACCCTATTTTCTCTCCGTATTTTGCCTAAAATACATTAATATAAATAGGAAGTTGTTTAAAACTTTATTCCAAATTACCATGGTATAGAGCCCGCGAAAGCCAAAGAATAAACCATGAAGACTGCCAACACCTTTTGCAGCAGTAAAATTTTAAGTTTTGGTATCAAAAGTCAAACATTCAAAAAGGTTGCTGTACTCTTTATCAAGTTGCACAGTAAACACATTTCTCCTAAAGAGAACCCCTCTACCCTTCCCACTTAATGCACCAAACTTATGCAGGCACCTGTTTCATCAGAAATCCAGGGGAGATAAACTCATTCCCAAGAAAATGTTTCAGGGCAAAATATTTCAGTTCAAATCAATATAGTTAGGAACCGCACTTGGTCCAGGAGTGGGTAAGTTTTCTCAACTGACAAATGAAACTGAAGAGGACTTTTCTCTGACAACTGGTAGAAAGGGCTCCCACTCTTTCTTCTATGGACCAACAAGGGACTCTGGCATATTTCAACTATGGGGTTGGGGAGATGCTTAAGGCTGATGCTGAATTATCAATATTTCCCCTCTGCTATTCTCCTATAAAGGTGGGCTCCTCCAGGGAGGCAGAGAGCTTGCTGATCCAAGAGACAAAGTATCTCACAGTCCCAGTGATGTAAGGGGCGTGGTGTATCCTGGAAACCTAGGAGTGTGGGGAGGGTTTGCAGGGCAACATGGGAGGGAGGAATCCACAGACGCTTCTGGAAGTGTCGCAATGGAGGACATAACATGCAAATGTGCACAGTTCCATTGAAAGCGTGGAATATGATATTTAATGCAGAAAACTCTACCACAGACTCACTGTGATTCCGGCTCCTGTCACAGTTGCTTCCCATTCTGATGAACATTAACACTGCATTCAATGAACCACAAAACGGATTCTAATTCTGAGGAACCTTTGGTATCACCATTAACTCCTACTGTTTATTGACATAATGATATTTCCATAGACCAAAATATTTTATTACACATATAGCTGAACACAGAATTCATAACTGTATAGTATAGAAAATAATCTCTTTGTATTATCCTCAGCATTTAATAATGCAAAACTAGTGACAAACATCTCTAGGAAAAAAATAGTAAAATAGTCCTTCCATATTAAAACTTCTTATTAAAAAACTTTGGACCAAAGTTAAGAGTGTGATGTGATTTTAATGCATAGATGAGTTGGGCATGAATAAAATGAATCAGACCCCATCTCTTGCAGTGCATCAAAAATTTTAAATCTGCAGGTCACAGTTTGCCATAGGTCAATCACAAGAACAGTGCATTCGGGTTTCCTTTTTCCTTATTCTGCAATTTTTGATGATTCGACATCCAGAACAATGTATACCCAGGATAGAAGCAATGTACTGCATACTTACCAGGTGATTTTTATGCCACTTTGTTGAATGCAGGATTAATATATTTGGGCTTTTTATTGCTTGAGTAGAAAGTGCTCATTATTTATCATTTTATGTTTATAACTTGTTTTTTTTTTTTTTTTTTTTAAATGGCATACATCACACTGTGGTAGTGGTTGACTTTCTCAAGATTGTCTTCTGTGGTTTTGGTGCAGTGGGAGGAGGCACAGTTGCGGGTCTCAGAGGGGGGAAGCTGTTACTGTGGCTTATTCCCAGGCCCCCGTTTTCTAGCGGGAAAGGAGGGATGTGGGGTGGAGGAGGGAGGGGCGGGCCGTGGTGCAGGCCCTTCCCTGGCAGGTGGACAGGCTCGCCGTGGGCGTGGACCTCCCTGTGTTTTATACTGTGCCGGGTGTCACAGTCAGGGCAGTAGCCGTGGTACTGCACTTTCTCATTAAACCGGACACGTTCCCGAGGCCCTGCCTGGGGACACCTGTCTTTGTCAGGTCTGTGCGTCAGAGGCTGCCCGGGGGCCTTGTCCAGGTTACTGGTGGGTATGCAGCAGATATCTCCATTTGGAATTCGGTTGGGTCCCCCTGGCAAGCCTCCGTTTCTGAGAAGGGTGCCGTTGGTCTTCACAGGGTTCACAGTGGGCAACGCCCTCGGGGGCTCCTCGCACTTCACAGGTGTCAGCCTAGGAGGAGGCGGTGGAGGGTTGGGCTTTCTCAGGACCGTGAGGATGGCCGAGGGCTGTGCTGGGGGCCTAATGAGCGGCGCGTTGGCCTGCACTTTGATCTTCTCTATGCTGGAGGCCGTGGTGCCACTGGAGCTGCTGTTGAGCGTGTCCGTCTTAGAGCTGTCCGTCATCTCATCCTCCAGCTGTAGGTCAGAGGTCAAGGTATCAATCTGGTCAACCACCTGGTGGAAAGGACAAGGTCATTGTGTTGAAGAATAACCCAAAGCAAAACAGACAAGATACAGTTTCTACCTGTCTGGCTGTAACTTGCTACAGGGTCTGTGACGGACCCTGAGCTGCGCCTTCCAGTGCTGCTTCACGCTCCACACAAGCAGTGTACATCACACAAATCCACCTGCTTCGTCCCTGGGCGCCAGCTGTCTAGAACCGCGAGCGCTGTGAGTGCACACAGCCGAATTCTGACTCGGCTGTATTCGCCAAAGGCGGGATTCTCATGCGAGACTACAAGTGAGCAGCATGCGAAAGACCACAGGAGAAGACTGCTTCTGGGAGCCAGACCATCGATCTGACATTAGGAATGGTTGTGTTTTGAGCCTTGTTAGCCGGAAGGAATCAGTCCAGCACACCACCTTCCGTCCCTCCTAAATAACTTTCCATCTTCAATCCATTAATATGTGTCTTTTTATTTATGTTCTCAAATCACTCTGGTCTTGTTTTATGCCCTCTTAAAGGTCAATCTGCTTCCTGCCACAGGATGTTTGCACATGCTCATACTCCTCCTTGAAAGGCTCTCACCTCTGCCCTTTGTCCAGTTAACTCCTAAAGAGCTTCAAAACCTTAAGAGTCACTCAAGAAGCAAGTTAGTAAAGAATTAATTAACTGTAACAAGGAATTGTGTTTCCTGTATCAAAACATTCATTGCAATTTAAGTCTCAGATTTAGTGTGATCACTGGAATGATGTTTCTCTTCTGAATGACAGTGCCAGCAAGAGAGGGGCCCTTGTGTGACCTCTCGTATTCTATGGGGCTGATACACTGCCTGGTAGGATTAGCAGCACAGTAAATACTTGGTGAGTGGATGCAGCAAAGGCAATGTCTTCTTTCATCCAGTTCAAGTGAAAGCCAATGAGATATTCATTTCTGCTTGATTTCTGGTGATGCTCTTGTTTTAGAACTTGGTCATTTATACCAGCAGAAAATAAGAGGAAAGGACTTCTCCACCAAACACCAGAGCTGGTAGGGGGATGTATAAGGACTGTGAGTGGCAGAAGGGGAGTCTCAGCCTCTGAGGCATGCATGGCATTAGCCCTGGGTGCCTTTTAGCACACAAAAAAATCTGCAAAAAAGGAGACTGCTCATTGGCTGTGAGGGGAGTGAAGCCTGTTTTCAGAGGTGCATAAATGCTGCCTAGATCCATGACAGGTTGATCGCTCCTAGTTGGCTTCAGATTTTTTTATACTACTATTTTCTGAGTTCCCATGACATGCCCAGAACATACAAAGCAAAAAATGAGACAGCGTCAACATGGGGCAGGGAATCTAGTGGGAGGGTTTAACTTCCAGTCCTCAAACAAGCAACGGGCAAAGGCCCCAAGCACGCTGGAGCATCCAAGATGCTGAGAGAGGACCCCACCAGCAGGTGGGCGGGGCAACCCCCAAGAAAGTGGGGGCCCGGAAAAGAGCCAGAGCAGCTCCTCTGATGAAGAGGGTGCTCCTGTGAGTGGCTGGAAGGCCCCTTTGATGCAAGGGCACTCAGAGAGGAGGCTGTGGGATCCCGAAGCAGCCAACACTGGGAGAACCCTTGTGTTGCGATACAAAACTGCCGTATGTCTGTTAAGAGCTCCAGAGTTGAGAGGAGCAGGATTCAGAGACCAGGAACTAGGATTTTTGAGAACAGAAGCCTCCTCTAGTTTCAAACAGGAAAATATAAACAAAAACCTTCACCCAGACATACCGTGATGCAACTGGAAAACCATGATGAAAGTTTTACAACAACAGGACATACACCACATATTTATAGAGTAATAAAAATTAGGTTAACAGGAGATTTTTCTCACAGGTAATGGAGACCCCAAGACAATTTTTTTTTTTATTTCTTTTGACAGGCAGAGTGGACAGTGAGAGAGAGAGACAGAGAGAAAGATCTTCCTTTGCCGTTGGTTCACCCTCCAATGGCCGCTGTGGCCAGCGCACCGTGCTGATCCGATGGCAGGAGCCAGGTGCTTCTCCTGGTCTCCCATGGGGTGCAGGGCCCAAGCACTTGGGCCATCCTCCACTGCACTCCCTGGCCACAGCAGAGAGCTGGCCTGGAAGAGGGGCAACCGGGACAGAATCCGGCGCCCCGACCGGGACTAAAACCCGGTGTGCCAGCGCCGCAGGCGGAGGATTAGCCTAGTGAGCCGCGGCACCGGCCGACCCCAAGACAATTTAGAAACACGCCTAATATTGAAACAAAAGGACTGGAAATGCTCCACAGCTGTACTCTCAGGCAAGAGTGAGAGAAACAGGCACTGAAGCCCGGCTGAGTGTACACCTGACGGCTCCGATTCTAAGTGCTGATCAATGACAACACAGCATGAAAGGTAACCACCAGAAGGAAAGACCAGAATGCAGGAAGAAAGAGGAACCAAGAATCTGCTACACCAGTGAATCAACATGAGTACTGGGTACAAAGACCAATACAGTCCTGAGTAATCTGAGAGAGGGCTACCAAATGGGAAACTGAAGCAACATGGAAAAACAATGTCTGCTCCTAGGACAATCCAATTAGAGCATCTGAAGGCCACTGCATTATTTTTATATAAGGAAAATCAGTACCTATGTGAGACTGATTCACTTTAGGTCTCATTCAGTCAGTGACGAGTGTGAAAAATTATAGGGTAAGTACAGAAAGAATGGACTCAAAATGTTAACTTTCAAAATAATGTGAGGAATAAAACGTAAAGACAACTCCATCAAAAAAAATAAAGTATAAAAACCTCAAAAAATAGTTTTGATGTATGCCTAACTGAGGAAAGGGGTTAGCCCAGCAGTTTAGATGCTTGTGTCCAATAAGTCATATTGTAGGACCTGGGTCTGACGCCTGCTGTAGCTCCTGACCCAGCCTCCTGGTGATGCAGACCCTGGAGGGCAGTGGTAACGGGGTAAGTGGTTGGGATCCTGCCAGTCATGTGGGGCAGGGGCACCTGCACTGAGCTTTCAGCTCTTAACTTTGGCCCAGCCTAGTCTTGGTCATTGTGGGCATCTGAAGGAAAGGACTGGTGGATGGGAGCTCTCTTTCTCTGTTTCAAATAAATAAAGCAATAAACAAACATTTAAACAGTTCAAAACAATTTATTCAAAAATAATGACTACTGTCAAACAGACACAGAGATCAAATATAAAGTACAAATAAGAAGCAACAGACAAGTAACCAGATCCGCGGGTACCAAATGAAATGTATGTTGAATCTTCTGTTCTCAAACATTGATGGAGACAGAACGGAGAGGCACACACATGCATACACACACATACATCCTTAACAAAAATTAGGCAAAATGGTATGAGTGAGCAATGCACACAAGATAAACAATAAATTTCCAAAAGCCACGCAAACTTACCCCAAACCTCCCTAGTCTCTGAAGTAATGTAAACTGAAGGAAAATGAGATGGTTTGGTAAAAACAACAGTCTTGATAATCACATTTTTTGGTGATGATGTGGAAAATGGGAACCTTTTACGTTGCCAAAGGAAATGCAAACTCAGCCAGTTCAGGGAACTTTCTAAACAGCAGCCTGGAAATGGCTAAGACACATACCTTGTGGTAGAGTTCTTTCAGTCACAAAGCTTAGACCACTCTGGGAAGACACTAACCCATGTTCATGAAGCAAAGAAAACCCGAGGATGTTCCCTGCAGCTTTTGTTTGATTTGGCCTTAGCTAAGTATTAAATGCAACCTCAATATGTATTAGTAAGTAATGGGCTAAGTAAATGCAGAGTAGATAAAAGGAAAGCTCTACAGTTGTAGGTATTGGCAGTGCTAAATCTCAAAAATCCTATTACTAGGAGGCTAGCATGTTGGTGCCACAGGTTAAGCCTTCGCTTATGATGCCAGCATCCCATATCAGAATCTAGTCAAGTCATGGCATCACTGATTCTGATCCAGTTTCTTAATTATGTGCCTAGGAAGACAGCAGAAGATGGCCCAAGGACTTTGGCTGCTGCCATCCGTGTCGGAGACCTGCCTGGAGTTCCGGGATCATCCTTTTGGATTGGCCAAGAACTGGCTGCTGCAGGCATTTGAGGAATGAAGCAGCAGACAGAAGATGTCTCTCATTCTGTTTCTCCGTCTTTCTCAGTCACCCTGCCTTTCAAATAATTAAATCTTAAAAAATTATTTTTAAAAGTTATAAAAGTATATCCAGTATGTTTACATTACTTATACAGAAACACATGTAGTCCATTTATATGACGTGAAAATAGATAATTCACAATAAATTCAAGCAAGGAGGAAAAGAAATCGATGTTGGGGTTCATCAGCTACATAGTCAACACCTTCAATTTCTTTTAAACTTGATATAAAGTAAATGTAAAGATTTAACAATCTGAATGATATCTGTGCTGATTTTGTTATGTGTGTGATATTTTATAATCAGGAAATATAATCTGAAATAAGCTTTACTGCCTACAATTAAGCTGTAAAACATGTTATAAGATACATATATGTAACACAATGCTTATTATACACACATCAGCTATCAAACAGTTGCTTATTTTTCATACTTTTGCAAGCACAGCTATGTACACTAAGTTAGTAAACATCCTGCATACCATACACCACTATTAACTAACTAGTCCTCGGCTCTTTTGACCTGTTCATCTGCACTTGTTCCCCCAATAATAGAGATTTAACCACTGTCTTTCTCTAGACATTTGACCTATTTTTAAAATACATTCACATGTAAATAAGTTCATAAAATATTTTTCTTTCCTTGCCTGACTTATCACTTAACATAATGTCCTCCAGTTCCTTCCATATGGTGGCAAATGGCAGGATCTCTTCCTTTCTTAGGGCTGAATAATAAATACTTAACACTAGTTAAATAAAGTAAGGAAGAAAGAAAAGAAGGAATCCTTAGAGATGCCATGTGGAGAACATATTGCAGGGTGCTGCAGTTTACTTACTTGGCCAGTTAGAGCCGACTGCAGCCAAGTGGGAGAGGAATAAATTACCCAGAAGGAAC